CTTCACCAGCTTCAATCTGTGAGCCTCCAGATCCTCATGAACCACCAGTGTCTAGCTTCTTTTATGTTTATTTTATTTTTTCTCCTGATACTAGAACCTAGCAGTTACATGGCTGGTGCCGTACCACTTGAGTATGACACTATCACATTTTTACTTGTAATTTCTTAAATAGGATATTGTATTTTTTGTTCAGGCTAATCTAAGACTGAAGTCCTTCTATCTATGCCTCTGTGATTATAGATATGATTCATAATGCTCAGCCTGTTGTGGAAACCTAGTCCTGATCATAGTTTGCCCAGGCTGGCCATGAATTTCAATACTCTTGATTTCTGTTTCCAGAGTAGCTGGGATTTTAATTTTAAAAAATCACTGAATTAAAATATTGCAGTTCTAAGCAATAAAATTCTAAGAAAGTTTTAACTAAGGTATAAAAACAGATTGGAAATGGAAAAGAAACACCATTTATCATAGTAGTGTGATTTGTAGCTCACTAAAAAGGGCTCATCATTATTATAAATTGTATTTTTGCAAAGGCTGCCACATCTGGACACAGATCCATATAGTGGAGGCCTAGAACATATTTGTATATATTTATAACTAATTCGTTTTGCTGTCCCCTAAGACAGTAGTCATAAGTGTGTGTGTGTGTGTGTGTGTGTGTGTGTGTGTATCTGTGTGTATTAGGTCCTGACCTTAAGGCCTCAAACTCTTGCTTGGCTTTTTCCACTCAAAGCTGACACCCTACCATTTGAATTATAGCTTCACTTCTGGCTTTTCTCTGATTAATTGTAGATAGGAATCTCATGGACTTTTCTGTTTAGGCTGGATTTCAACCGTGATCCTCAGATCTCAGCCTCCTTAGTAGCTAGGATTATATGTGTAGCAACCAGTACCCAGACAGTCATTACAAACTCAGGTGCTAGAAACAAGAATTTCTCCTTAACCATTTCACACACATACACACAAATGCATGACAATGCTATTAAGTACTCAGACTGTCACTGATTTAGAATGAACCAGCAATTTCAGAAGGAACCAGTTATATAAATCCTAATACTTGCTGTTACTGCCATTTATGTATGCATTTTCCCAGCAATTGTCCTTATCTGAGACAGCTCTTTTTCTTGTTGCATGATAAACTGAGGCTCCTTACATTCTTTCCTACTGAAGACTTCTTCCATCATGCCAGGAGAAATGTCCAGAAACCAGGGCCACTATTTAGTACCCTCTCTAATCTACCTCCTCAGCAAGAAAAGCTTCAAAGTCAAGCAATGATCTATAAAACCTGGAGTTTCTTAACCTCAGGGCACTTAGGATGTAGATCAAGAATAACCATTAGAATCATTTACTTTAATTATGAACTAAGTATGGCTTTTAAACATAGATAAGTGTTGTTTTTGTAAAATATATTCTGACTTCTAAATAAATCTCACAACTTATTTAAAATTGAGCACAGAAGTATTATGACCTAGAAATCATAATCCTAGTTATAGATCCAAAAGAACTAGAAATAGATATTCAAAGATACCTCAAAGATAAATTTATCAAATATAAATGAACTAGAAATAGATATTCCAAGATACCTCAAAAATAAATTTATCAAAGATAAATGTTTGTAATAGGCAAAAGTTTAAGCAATCTAATGGCCTATTATCAGAGATAAATAAACAATATGTGATATAGTCACACAATGGAACATTATTTAATGAAAAAAAACAGGTGAAATACATTTTTTTCATTAAAGAAGATATGGTAAGCTGGGTGCTGGTGGTTCATGCTTGTAATCCTAGGTACTCAGGAGGTTGAGATCTGAGAAACACAGTTCAAAGCCAGCCCAGGCAGAAAAGTCCATGAGTCTCTTATTTCCAATTAGCCACCAGAATGCCTGAAGTAGAGGTGTGGCTCAAGTGGTAAGGAGTAAGCCTTCAGTGAAAAAGCTAAGGGACAGTGCCCAGGCCCTGAGCTCAAGTCCTAGTACTGGTATGTGTACACACAAACAAACACGTGCATGCACTCGTGTGCGCGCACACACACACACAGAAGATATGGTGGGTAGTAGGTGTTATGATGCTCATCTGTAACCCCAGCACTGTGGAGGCTAAGGCAGGAGAATGGAGAATTCAAGGCTAAAACCCTGGCTGAGAGTGAGGTGAAAATACAGTGGGAAAAGAGACTAGAAGTCAAGAATTAAAAAGTCTAAAAGCCTAGGTTCAATCCCTAACCCTGCCTTTACTACATTTTTTAAAAACGCAGTCAAGAATCCTGTATAGATCCTAAAATATTAAGTAGAGTGAGGGAGAGGGTGGGAAAAGAAGGGGTAGGTAGAATGTTGAAAGGGATAACATTGACCAAGATATATTGTATTAAAAAACTGCTTTGTTAAATGACTACTCTTTTGTACAACTATTTAATAAAAAAATAAAAAATATGGGCTGCGAATGTGGCTTAGTGGTAGAGAGTTTGCCTAGCATGCATGAAGCCCTAGGTTCAATTCTTCAGTCCCACATGAACAGAAAAGAGCTGGAAATAGCACTGTGGCTCAAGTGGTAGAGTGCTAGCCTTGAGCAAAAGCAGCTCAGGGACAGAGCTCAGGTCCTGAGTTCAAGCCCCAGGACTGGCAATAATAAAATAAATGTGAACTAAAAATGTAAATCCTGGATAATGTAACTATTGTAGTATACTTTTAAAGTATTTCCTTTAAATATTTTAAGAGAATAAATTTTCTGTTCTTTTTGTGAACAACTGGAAGAGTATCACTTTTCCTGATCTTTAATGTGTCATTTTCTCTATATGAACCTCAGTTTCATTGTGTGAATAAGTTACATTTCATTCTAAGGCTAAGATAAAGAAAGTACATTGGAATCTCTAGTCCACTAGAAAAATAGTACTATTTAAAGAATAAATATGTGCTTTTGCTTTCTTATTTTATCCCTTATTTGAAATATTAACTAGTTTGAGGGAAAATATTAAAAATTTATTTATGCTGAAAGAAGTTACAATACAAGGTAATTCAAGTTGAGAAACCTAGACAGTTTTAGTCTGAATCTGTAGTAGCAGACTTAGGATCAGATTCTGTCCTGGGGAATAAATGTATAGTAATTATTTAGGGAGTTCTAGAATCAATTTGTAACTTGTGACTGCCTTTCCGATCATAAATGACGATGGAATGGGCAATTTCAAAACTACTGATATGTGGTTTTAGAAGAGGAATTTGAGTCTATTTTGGTTAGAATTCTAAATCAGGCTCTATGTGTAAAAGAGAAAAGGAGACAAATTCTAGCTATTCTTTTTTATTAGTGGCACAAGCTTCTTATAGAGTAAAATCTAACTTATTCAACACAATCAGGAAAGGTGGTAATTTCCATTTGCTAACAAAACAGAAAATCAAACTTTTTTTAAATACTTAAAGGAAATAATTTAAGTATACTAGAGTAATTCCATTATTTAGTATTTACATTTTTATATAGCTAACACAGCAAATATTTTTAACACCCTTTAGAAACAAAGATATTCAAATGTAAAATGGTATACTGGTTTATGTACATGATGGTACAAGCATATAATCTATTAGAAAAATGATAAACATCGTATCTGGTGTGGTGAGAGAAGTCTCAGATAATATGATTCTGGTGACCTGAATTCTAGTTCAAGGTCAGCCACTTGGTGATGTGTGTGATTCTAAGCATTTACCACGCCTTTGTTTCCTACCTGCACAATGAGAGGATTAAATAATCATTTTCTGCAAAAGATTTTTCGTTTTCAATTTTAAGCTATAGAACCTTTTCTTCAAACTCTTCCAAGAAGCCTATTGTTTGAAATTAAATAAACTCACTCACAGACATTCTTCTTGAAATAAGGTAAGAAGCCAGATGCCCATCAGCTTTCCTACTTTTCTAGCAGCCCTTGAGGTGCCTCTGAAGAAACTTTGGGGCTCCACAGAGCTGTCTGAAAACCACTGAGCCAGATAAAACCAAATAACCCTTCACATTCCAGTATCTTTGGATTTCACTAGAATATGCATTTTCAAATATCCTGTGTAAATCATTATTCTGAAGGAGCTATTTTATTATAAAAGTGTTTTTGGAAAATAGGGAAGAAAAAATTCAGGAAAGCTTTCCCATGCTTTCCATGCCAGTCTTGTTTCATATGACCAAACAATTAAAATAACTAAATAAAGGGATAGATTTTCACTTTTATTTTTGACGTATTTTCATAATATAACATATCTTAAATTTCATGTGAATGTTTTGAATTTAATTCTCATTTTTGTCCTTTTGAAGAAATAGCATTTTAAAGAACTACACACACACACACACACACACACACACACACACACACACACACTCTTCTAATACTCAATGTGCTCTTAATATCTATCCCATCACCATAGGCAATCAACATTAAATGCCAACCTACCCTCTGGTTAAAATCTAACTTGCTGCTCTAACTCATCTTTATAAAACTTTGTATATAGTTTAATCCTTTCAAATGCAACGGTGACACAAAGTATTACAGACTTTTAAAAACCTGTTCTCTTGAAAAAAAAATTGTGGAGCATCAGTAACCAGATAGTATTCTCAAATTTCAGTGATCTAGTCCATGGAGCCGTCCCCTCTGCACAGTGCTCTGTTTCATGCAGTACATGGCTTTAGCTGGCCAAATCTTTTTTTTTTCCCAATGAATCAGTAGAACAGTAAAGATCTTACTTTTTTTTTAAGCAGTGGCATATCAATGAGGCACAGATGTGTATTCCAACTCTGCATGGATGAGCACACTGTTCAATAGTGCTGGCTCACACGGTATCAGGCCGAGTTATCACTTCCCATGAAGGCACTCTTATCACCAGGGCCCAGAGAGGTGGCTGCAAATCGCAGCCTTTTTATTTTCAAGGCAGTTTTGCTGAACATTCAGGCTTCAAAGATTCACACTTCCAAAACTCTATAAGAGTTTGTGAACGCTCAATTTGCCAAAACTGTTTACAGTGTAATTGGGCACCGTACCTGTGTCCATGAGATAGCGAAGGCGCTTCTCCACCAGCGCGGCACGGGTGTCAATTTGCTTTTGCTCATTCTCTAGTGCTGCCAATTCTCCTACAACATACTGACTGGTGTCTTTGAACCCTTTCTGTTAACGAGAACAAACAGGAAGGAAAAAAAAAATCACTTGTAAGTTGCATTTTCCCTTTCTACAAACACTTAGTAAAGCACTTACTTAGAGAACCAAATACACCCTTAGTATCAGCCTTAGAACCGAAAAGCAACTTGTTCCCAGTGATTTAGAATATTTTCCTATGCCAAACTTTTGCAAATAGTGAATGTTTCAGATGTTTAACATTATATTTGTAATTGTGTACCTAGACATAATGTATTTAAAAAGCTAGCATGAAGTTAATTCTTTTCTCTTAAGAATTCGGTCACAATTTTTTTGTGGGGGGAGGCATGGACAAGGATAAAATTCAATTTTGCCCTAGCTGACTATCAAAACAAACCTTCCATTCAAAAGTATAATATACAAAGTAGAGCTTTACTAAGGAATTGATCCTTAAAATGTTTATACAGAAAGAATCAGAATTGTTCTATAAAAATATAAAGTTAAAAAGACCTTTTTACAGGGAACTATGTAAAACACTAAAAAATGATAAAAAGAAGTTTGTAATACCTAGCTAGCTTTTATAATTAAACATGTTATTGTGTTGATGAACTATTCTTAGCTGTAAATTCTAACCTGACAGGTGGTTTCAAACCTTGCTACATAGGATCTAATAAACTAGTAGACTGATTCAGCTAACCTTCCATAGAACTAGATTTTGTTTTCAATATGAAAATTTACTTTTCAAAACTATTTACATTAAAAATTATCATTGCAAGCTTTATTTGAAATAGGAATTCTGTTATAAAGTACCAGTACATCTTTCATTGTTATTTTTACACTAGAAATTTGAATAATAAGAACAGGGTTATTATTTATAAGGTTCTCACAAAAACAGATTAAGAATGGCCCCCTTTGGAATTTCTGTTTACCCTTCGCTATTTCTAGGGCTAAGGGACCTAAGGAGATGAGACATATAGAAGAGCTGCTTATTTGATTGCTCTTACCACCACTACTACTGTCATCAGCAATTATAACACTTATTCAGAGAAAGAAATGTGTATAATCTTTTGTCAAGTGCTTTCCTTTCTCTAAGAAACTATGAAGAACTATCTTTACAAACTCCTTAAACAATAAACACATCAATAATTAAGTAAATTGTGAGCACATTTTGGAATTTTCATGATCAATACACATATGTAATTCTCATTATGCTTATATACCTTCGGAACTACTAATTTATATTCACACATAAATTCAATTGAAATTGTTAAATTGGCAGCTGACAAATTTAAATTTCAAATATTTTAAGAAAGCATAAGACTCATATTTCTCAGAAAAGTTTGATTTAAAAATTCAAACTATTTAAAACTGATTTTGGAATAATTTTGTGTTTTTTGAATGTATTTACCAGATAGCAGAGCATTTTTAAAGGAGCCTTTTAAAAAAATCCCATCCAAAGGGACAAAAGTTTGCAAAGACAGTATGAATATCAAAGATATAAGAAAGTAGAAGTGGGGCTGGGATGTAGCTCAGTGGCAAAGCACTTGCCTAGCAAGTACAACGTCCTGGGTTCGATCCCCAGTACCAAAAAAAAAAAAAAAAAAAAAAAAAAAAAAAGAAAGTAGAAGTGATAAATGATTCACCACTTTTACTGATTAGAAGTTAAGAATAACAACAAATTTCATAATCAGATCTCTTTTTCTTTTGTATCCTGGAGAACAACAATCAGATTTCACTCAAGTGTTCTGTAACCATGCAAGTTACACTAACTCATCAGTATATTTCCTGTATTTAGATAGCCCCAGATCTAAAAGTGAATAACTTAAAGTGAGTAACATTTAGAGTCCAAAAGTACAGTTAGTAACTCTGAATGTACTTATAAGGATTTAAAATCCAACAAAGACAGATCTATGAAAATATTTGGACAAACTGTAGATAATAAAGTAGCACCATTAAAGAGAGCCATGCTTCCACACAAAAATTCAAGTAGAAACTTGTTCTTCCTGCTTCTGTCCCGCAGCTGTCCATCAAAAGCAGCTTTCTCCCTGCGGTCTATCAAATATTTCCCTCACAAATCAATTTTACACATGATCAGCCCATACCCCTACTGAGCTGAACCTCCCCGTTAATTAAGTGAAGAAATTACCATATATATTATATTAATGCAAACATCATTCAGCTAGTAATTCACGGCTGATCTGGATAATGGAAAGGTTGAACACCCATTAACCCAAGCCAACAAAATGGGTTGGCTGAGAAATTCTAGCAGGTCTCATGTGACTTTTCCCTCTAACTGCAGCTCTGCGGTATCTGCTATTGTAATAATTAAAATCCTCCCGGTAGATCAATACTGGAATCTCTTTATGGGAAGTGCCCTGATGGAAATGTCTCAAGGAAGCTGGGGCTTCGGAACTCTGAAAAATTCATTTTTTTTTATCTGACAATTATCACCACACTGCAGACTAATTCAACAGTGCACCCCTCTCACTCTGCTTTGAATGCAGTGGAGATTGACATCTTAAAAAACCTAACATCTCATTTTAACAAATAAAGGCACTATTTCCACATACAGTTTGGAATTATCAGCAATCATGAAACCACACAAAAAATTAATATACATTAAGCACTTCATCTTCTGATGGCTTCCTCTGAGTTTCAGTTATCGCTGCCTTCTCCTCATTTCCTTTCTTTGTATCTTCCTGTATTGATCTCTGCCTTTTCATCTCTTAAAAAAAGGAGAAAGACATGTAAAATTATTATAAAGCTTGATATTTGTGTATTGAAATGTGGATTTACATTATCAGCATATATATGTATACATATTTAAATACTGTTAAAATCATAAGATGGAAAAATTTAAAAAGTGTTCATACCTGGTCTATTCTCAACATATTGACTAAAAGACTGAAGTTGAGTTTTTCTGACTGTTGAATCTTTGCTGAACACAACAGGATTTCTAAAATGTTCTGTAGCTTTTGGTAGTCTCTCAGTCCGGAGATCTTCTGTGCCATTCTAAAAGTAAAATACATGGTACAACAATCCTAATTTTATGAACATGAAATTACACATAAGGAAGACAACTTTTACTAATTTAGGATCATGCTGACTTAGAGACTTTAGAAAGTGTTTGAAAGATTTTTTGAAGTACTCTAAATTGCTCAACAGCAAGTTGTACTGCCCATAATAATATTAATAGAAACTTTGAGATACATGGTTTACATCATTGATAACTTAGATACTGTGAACCCTTGTGTCTTCTAATGAGAGGTATTGTTTAAAACCATGTTTACCTCCTGTGCCCCCACTATTCTGCCCCATCAGTTTATACAGTCCCACAGACTTGTAGGACAAGAAGAAATAGTTTCTAATTTTATGCCCGTTGAGATAAACCACTAATGCTGGATGAAGGCTAAAAGGTAGGATTATAATACTACCCCACTGAACTGCATTTCATCAGCTATAACTTTCCAAAGCCAGATTTGTAAGTAAGCCCTTTACAGCTAAGGAAACTACAATTATCTTTTCTGGAGCTTCCTATGTTAATACTGGTAACAAATTCAAATGGTTCTATCAACAAGAAATATCCCAGAAGACTGAACCACTGCAGTGTGTGGAAGCCGCAGATACCGAGGTGCTGTGTACCAAACAAATATTTCATTTTATACCTAATCTTTTATTATTTTTATTAAGTGTTTTGAAAGTAAATAGGGAAAGGCTAAGATGCATGACTAATAGCTAAGCCTGCTGAATGCTGAAACTGGTTATCAAAAGCTACCAAGACTTTGCCCTTCCTCTGCATTGAGACAATCAGTAATGAGGGAGCCCTCCAATGGCCTATTCTCTAGCCTCAAGGAGGCCTGGGATACAGAATTCTCAAGGGAAGGTAACAGTTTATCCTTTTCCACAAACACAGAATGCCTCATTAATAAATGTGTAAACTGCATTTTATCATAAAAATAAAAAAAACCCAATCAACTCTGGAAGCTTCAAGAACAGATGGACTCTATATGTTCTTTATAAACATCATTTTCAAAATCTTAGCTAAAAAACATTCATACAAAGGCATCTACTTAAAACACACCTTTTTTTTTGGAATACGTTTAAAAAATTACTAGATAATAGTTTTTTGGAGAACAAAATGAATCTCATTCATATAGATGATTAAACTTTAAGAATGAGATACCCTATTTTTTAAAAAAATTAACATATTTATCATTAATATCATTCTTTTATCTAGCTACGTGAAATCAGGATAGAAATAATTTTTGCTTTTACTTTTAAGATTATATGAAGCTTACTGATAGTATAATAACTATCCAAGAGTCTGAAACTCAAGTCTTTATCAAAATAAACAGAGTTAAATTATTTTAGGCCGAGCAACATGCTAAAATATCAGTGTAATTAGCTAGCAAATCCCATCTTAAGAAACCTTTTTATGAGTAGGGACTTCTGCCACTTTACAAATGTATTCCTCTAAACCCACTAATTCAGTTAGCCTTTTCAATCCATTGTATTATTCTTAGGCCAGCTTCCTTCTGCATTAAATCCACTGCAGAAAGCTAAATTGAACGCAAAAAATCAGACCTGATCCAGGCTTCCTTTTGTTAAAAGATAGAGACCAAAAGTCTTCTGTTACTGCCACACACTTTCATCACCAATTTATAGAAACCCACAATATAGGGGAAAAGCAATGAAAGTCATTGTTTTGGGACTTCAAAGCATCTCTGTGTCAGGGCAAGGAAATCCTTTCAGTCAGCAGGGCAATCCACACAGTCCGCAGGTGGGTAAAAAGTTATACAGAACCTAAAGTGTCCTAAAGCTAGAGAAATACTAATGGTACACTATGAGGAAATGAGGGAACATGTGGATGGAGATAATACAGTGTAATAACAATAACTGATTTATAGTACGTGTCATTTTAGCTAAAATGCAAGATTTATAATGGCACAAAACACGTGAATATCTTAAGCACTTATATTTGATTATATTATTGCATTCACATAAAATGGACTCCTAGAAATAACAAAGTTCACTTAAATGCACAGAAAATTGAAGATGGTAGAAAAATGTACTAAATTAGGTAATATTCTTATCAAAAATACATATAGATATAGAAGATATACATATACAACTGAACAGTTTCTATGTATCCTGTGATTTTTTTACTTGAACTAGCAATTGAAAGGAAGAATTTCTCTCAAAAACAGCATATGAAAACGAATCATAACATATTAAATTTGTTGGCTACTTAATAAAAGTTCTTAAATCTTATTTTAATGTAAATAATCTGGTAAGCAATTATCTTTAGAATATATAAAGTGTCAGTAGAAACAAGTGGTCAATTAGACTTACCTTAATGTCTTGCTCTGAGCTCTCAGTTATAGCTTTCTGGGCAGCACTGGAAAGTGAATTTGCCACCTGTGGCTGAGCTTCCAGGAGTTTCTTCAGCTTCAACTTACTATTTTGTTCTGTTAAATATGCAAATACCATGAATAACAAGTAAGATTTATTTAGATGTATATTCTACTAATTGTAGGCAACATCACAAAAATATTACTATATTTTAAAAGAAAGAAGAAAAGGGCATTAGGGCTGTGAGGCAACAAATCAGATTCTAGACATGTATAGAGTTCTTAAGACATGTATTTTGCCCTCAGAATGATTTCCCATAAAGAGTACAGTCACAATCAATATACCTGATGTTAACCAAGTTATGCTATTGGTAATGTTGTTTTTTTGAAAAGCTAAGCTATACAGAATATATATATATATATATGTAACTGCATAGGTTATATATAATAGTGAACTAAATAGTTAAATAAATAAGTATATTTGATTTAAAATTTTATTATTTTGTAATCTCATTCTTTTAGTATGTTAAGGTCATTTATGTAATACCATCTTAAACATGTTTCTTAACTTGCTCTAAGTCATATACATTCTTAGAGTTCAGTGTTAAGTGTGTACATATATACATATATTTATATATCCAGCATTGAAATGGTATATTTTCAAATACTTGCTTTGCAGATAGCAGAAATATCAGATTATCATGTTTTTAGAATTAAATCAAGATAAAAATTAAAACAGAACTATAATTTTTACAAGCAGTTTCAAATTATTTTTAAATACATTAATCTGTAATAGTAAAATAGTTCTGAATAAAGTAGAAATAATTTTTTTTACTTTAATAATTTCACACAAGGCAATCTTTAATAAAATGGTTGTAAAAGACATGCCAACCATTTGGTGAATGATATTTTTCATAAAGATTAATAACTTTTCTAATTATAATACTCTTAATAAATGCTATTATCATTGCTTTCATGCAAATTGGTCAGTTTATATTGCTAGGCTTCTTTTTTAAAACAATATCTGATGAACTATGGTCAAATCAAGATAAAGATTAAACAACTTATTATTAAAACATTATGACTTTTATATACATATTAAAAAAGAATTTTGGGAAAAATACAGCAAGGATAAAGATCATAATATATTCTCTGTGCTTTAATTCCAGTTTGCCTTCCTATTTCTTACTGCCATAAAGTAAAACACGGATCTGAACTGGAAGCCAGTATATATCCATGCCAACACTTACTTAAGTGCTTAAGAACTATAAACAATACAAGCTAACCTCAAACAGGAAGAGTAAGATATGGTTTCTACATTGGTATAAAGTTAGGAGAGAATTCTTTTTAAAAGTCTAAGAGTCAAGCCTGTTAGGATTAATTAACCATTAAAAAAATAACACCCACAAAGTTGCAATAGCTGTAATTGGAAAACTCTTCTAGTTTTTTTACCCTCTTCCTAATCTACCATAAAATACAGACATATGCATTATTTATTGCCACTAATTTTATACAAGTATAAAGCAAGTGCTAAACCTTCAATTCTATTGTTATGTATCTTATCAGTAAAGGTATACTATGGTTCCTAAGAAAGTATTGGGTGTTAATTGTAATAATAGGATAGGTAGGCAACAACCAATATATTCTCATAAAGAAAAGGCAAACCCAAGTTCTTCAATTTTTAAGAAAGAGTAAGAGGTATTCTTGTTGAGTTAATAATTATTGAGTTAATAATTCAATTTTTTCTTATATATCAGACTTCTCTTGAACTTGCACAATTATACTGCTATCTAGCTTTACTATAATTTAATGCCAGGCCATGAAGGAGTTACTGTTAAAAGGAGATTTTTTTTTCAAGTATTCTCTCTGGTTAGAAAACCTTGGTCAACTGTCTTAGAGAAGTAATGACTTTAAACAGGGAAAAATACCCAAAAGCAGGTTAGCATTATAGGGGTATGCCATTGATGAAAAAAAAAATGCCTCATTAAATTGAAACAGATCACCAAAGAGTGACTTCTATAAGTATTTAAGTAATTCTACAGGTTAACAAAACTTGTACTGATTACTTGTAGCTAGCTTGTAAAGGCAATTCATGGAACGTTCATCTGTTAAAAACTACCAAAAAAAAAATCTGGTGGTTCATGCCTGTAATTCTAGCTACTTAGGAGGCTGAGATTTGAAGGTCAGTTTGAGGCAGCCCTTGGCAGGAAAGTTTGTGAGACTCTTATCTCTAATTAACCACCAAAAAGCAGGAAATGAGGCAATCATTCATGTGGTAGAACACCAGTCATGAGCAAAAAGGTTTAGAGACAAGAGGCCAGATTCTGAATTTAGCCCCAGTATTAGCATAAAAACAAACAAAACAAAACAACCCACCAAGAAGTAACTTTTATTTTTAAAGGAAAGCATCTTTATATTTTAAAGAAGAACTTACAGAGATGAATGACCAATGTGATTCATTGATTTACTAACATAAGATATGACATTAACTTAGTTGTAATGATAATGGAAATTAAGCAAAATAGGAACTATATTTAAATATTTAATGTAAGCATAGAACTTGCAAAATAATAATATAACTAAGACTATCCATATTTTTGTTTTGCTTGTTATTTGAGAAACAAGGACTCATGATATAACCCAAGCTGGCCTGAACTTGCTGTATAGCCCATGCTCATCTAGACCTCACTTTACCTCTGTATTGGCTGCTCCAGTGCTAAGCTTACAGGCATATACTACCACATCCAGCTTTAAGACTTTAAATTCCATACTAAATAAAAAAGTCAGATTCATGGTTTGCATTTACATTTGGAGTATTCAATGGATACACCATATATACAATGTCAAACCAACATATTTAAACAGAGAAGAGAACCAGTTATCGAATGCCTACAAATTGCCTCATATAATATAAAACACAGGATTGCATAATACTAATAAGAGAACACAGTTACAATTTGCTATTCTAATGACTTTTAGCACTCAACCTAAAATAAAAGAGATAAAATAAAACTCAAAAACGTTAATGAAAGCAGATATAGCTAAATGATTTGTGATAGCCACAAATGAGGTAAAACTATAAAATAAGATTATGAGACAATAACAATAAAAGCATAAAGTTTGCCATGCAGCAGGACACAAAACATTTATAATTTGAAATTACCAGGAGTATCAAGGTCATTTTCTAAGTTAGTAAGTTCATCTCCGCCTCCTACAACAAAGCCTTCAGGAATTTCCTCGTTAGTATCTATCTCAATATTATCATTTTCATCTGTAAGAACATGTAGCAATAATGTTAGCATGTTATTTGTATTTTATATCCTTTGTTCAAAATACTAAAAAAGAAAGAAACCAGTATTTTAAAACTGAGTTATTAAAACTAAGGTCTGACAAAGACAAGCAACTTAAGAAATCAGTTTCAAGTCATTTTTTTACTGCTGGATTAACATTTATATTTTAAATTCTTATATCAAAGATGAATTATCATATCAAAGCATAACAAACGTTTTGACAATTTGCCACCTATTGTCTGTGCTGTCTCTGAGTCACTGAACTCCTTGAGTCCTTTTATTTTAACCTATAATCTATTAAAATGGTATATAAAAATGGAGTTAACATGATGAATCATCAAATAGTATCTTGAGAACTTATTTTTAGCATTCATTGGATACTGAATAAACACTTAAGTTCTTATAGACCTGTAGCTATATTTAAACCATTGTAAGAAGATCTGTTTTTCTACTAAGGAGTCATTATTCCCAAAGCATTAAGAATAAAAGTCAAATACTAGAATACTATATTTTATTTATTTATTTTTTGTTTTTTTGTGGTGCTGGGAATTGAACCTAGAAATTTATACATGTTAGGCAAGCACTCAACCACATCCCCAGGCCTTAATATAGTTCCATTATATAGTAGAATGTTTAGAAACAACTAAGACAATACACCTTGGAAGAGCTAAAATTAGGACAATTATTTAAAAATATTAAATATACAGAAATGAGGCTGTATAGCACTATTTTATACCCTTAGTAAAATGTTATAGGTTAGAAATTGAGTCTTTTCTATATTAAAATTTTCTATTATATAGAAAAAAATCTTTTCAAGGCCTAGTAATAAAATTGGTAATTTTGAATTCCACACATTTGCAGAGACATACGAACAGTCTTATTTACATATTATATATTTGTAATATACTATGGACCTTTTGGATAGATATAGATATATAGATGTCTACATCTATATTAGTTGTTTAGCTCTGGAAGTTGAAGTATACATACACACATACATACATAGTTGTTTAGTTCTGGGAGTTGATGAATATCCTTGTTATTCTCCTGCATATTTTTTCTTTTCTAGATATATTTTTATTGTAAAAATACTGTACAGAGGGGTTACAGTTACATGAGTAGGATAATGAGTACATTTCCTATCAAGCATTGTTACCTCCTCATTTGTTTTCCCTACCATCCATCCCTCCCAACCTCCCTCCCGCACACCCCAAAATTGTAAAGTTCATTTTCAACATAGTGTCTTGTACATCTCACTGTTACAATGGGTCAACCTGTATCCTTATTTAAGCATTTTGTTATATCCCTTCCCCTCCCCAAATTATAAAAATTATAAGTCAAATGAACCCCAAGACAGGACACAAGTGTTTTTTCTTTCTTGCGATTGTTTTTAATGTACTTATAATGCACTATGTGATTCTTTTGTTTGTACTTCCCCCATAGTATAACCCCAGTTTTCACTGTATCTGATTCAGGTGTCCTGCATCTCCCGCATATTTTTATTGGACATTTTTTGCTAATGGTGATACATTCCAAAGATTTTTTTTCAAATTGAGAAGTTTCAGAATTCCTGAGCTTTACCTTAATTCTTCAACATTTATGCTCCAAAACTGCACATGATTGATGTTTTTTGCTTCCCAAGTAAATATGTACTAAGAACATTACATAATTACATGTACTTTGTAAACCATTTAGAAGAAAATAACAAATACAAAAGACTGAAAATGTTCCCTGTGGGTAGTGGGACAGCAATAAAATTAGTAAGTGCTTTCACAGAAGTAGCTAAAGCATTATACATGACTTCAGTTAAGTACACCCAGTTGAGAG